CACCCCAGAGAGCAACCCGGCGATTGCCCAATCCCACCAAGAACTGCAGTCAGACGCATTCTTGCCACATAGTTTGGCTGCCTCGACGACTGTGTTCCATCTTGATTGATTACATATTTCACAAGTTATTGCACAGGGCGGCAAACGGAACCGGAAGTGTGGGAATGAGCAGGGAACTTAAAGAGGAAGTTAGAGGGGGCGGGGGCAGCGAACGGGGTGAGAAACACACGTATTTATTAGATTTATGGCCTGGCTTTCATGTCTGTTCTGTTCAGTTCAGTTCAGCTCTCTCTGGCTGGGTTATAATGGATTCTGCCAAGTGTATTCACACAACTTTTAATGTATTGGAAATTTCTCTGTCTCTCCCCCTATTTCTCCGCTGCTTCTGCTCCAGTTCTCCATTTCTCCACTTCACCCATCTCTGTCTGAAACATCGCCCAACATCGCATCCGTCGCACACCCGAAGGTACTAAAAAAGTAAAACTCATGTCGAAAGCGGTAAGCTGTGGCAATTGACTGAAACTGCCGGTTTAAATTAGAAAAGTTTGCACAATGTAAGTGTACAACTCCCCCTTCACTCACTCACTCGCTCACACATATAGAACCAACACTCAAACACACTCCCACACAGATACAGATACCCACACATGAGCAACACATTCGAGCGTGTTAATTTAATGGAAAAAACGATGCCAGGACACATAGCATTTGCCATTGATGGGCCCTCGAATGAAAGAGATGTCTGCGCCTGGTCAGGAATTTGTCACACAACCAGATAACCCCGAGGATGGGTCAGAAAGTATTATTCGTTTCGAAATCTATGGGCCGAGCAACTGTTTACGTCTAATTTACCTACAAGAATTTCTACGGCCAGTACAATTGGGCAGCTGTCAAAAAGAAGCACAAAATATGTTACAAATTACTAGCAGAATTGTCAAAATATATTTTTGAATTGACGAATTTTTATACTTCTGCTGTCTTTTGAGAAATTTGTTTTAGATTCCACAATATTTTTGTATTTGTTCTTTACTGAAAATGTTTGAATTTTTGCCTTTTGAGTAATGCAATTAATTAGATTTTTGAAGACCTTATAAAATGGAAATATTCATGAAATAAGAATTGAGTACAAACTTGATCAGCTTTTTGTTGACTTCCTTAACTTTTTAATTTCCTTTATAAGCTTTTAGAATTTTCTTGTATATTACTCCTGAAACGATATATCAATCAACCAGTTTTCTAAACCAATAATATGGAATCTTAAATTCCTAAACATCATGGCCAGGGCATTGATTTCAAACCACTTCCTTAACTCTTTGAAATAAACTTAAGGAATAGAGAAAGGTTTTTATAATTTCCCATTTTTTAAATAAGATTTCTTAACTCTTAACCCCACTGTTCAGCCTTATAAATAAAGTACGTTACATAGTACAACCCACCTTAAAATCTTTATTAAATAACAGTATAAATATCTTTAATGTGAAAAGGATTTTCCTCAGATATTTGTGGCCATTATTTGGTCCATAACTATGTAGTTCAAGTTGATAAAATAACTTAATCTAGGCAACGGCAAAACCCCAAATCCGATATATAATCCACTTATACGACCTGTTCGTGTACGCACCTCAGCTCAACATTAAAGGATTTACCCAACTCAACGATTCTTGGATATTCCGCTTTATTTTTTCCTGCTCACCCACGCACTCCAGAGGAATATAAGGCAGGAGATTCATACTGGGGTCTGGCTCTGCCTTTTCTTTTGTTCCGAACAAACAGCCATAAATCCTAGCCAAGTTCAAACTATATCTGCTGCCCCGGGACCTAGCTTTCGGGATATTCATTTTTTTATGGCGCACTTATATGGGACAGGACAGCGTAGCCCAAAAATCCATTTCACTTATTCCCATGCACTTTTATGGCCCTAGTCCGCCAGCAATTTTGCACATTAAAAGCGAACTTTTTACATGACATATGTATGCCACTCCCCTCCCGACCGCCACTCCTACCGACCTATTCTTCACAAACGCCGCCCCCCAAAAAATATAACTAACACAAATATACATTTCATATTCATGATGGGGAGAGTGCTTAAAAAGCGAAGAAATTAACTCCAGCCAAAGTTGGGGGAAGAGTTTGCGACATGTGTAGAAAAGGCTGAAGGGAAAGTAAGGGGGGAGCTGAAAGTAGGGGATGCTGTGAAAGTAGAGGCCTACTTAGCACCCCTCATTCTCTCCTGCGGAGAGTGTCCCCTTTCTCAGGCTGCCACACTATTTTCTGCTTAGTCGGCTCATCTGCATTTTATGGTCCAAAAATATCATCATCATTTTTTCGCATTTCATTATGGCGCGGTATGCGTGTGTGTGCCAGTACACTGAGAGGAAAACTATTAGATTTCGGTTAGAAATTGAAAGATGAACTTTCATCTGAGAGTATTTTTATAAATGTTAGACTTAAAGCTATGTAAATTTGTAGAGTAAAACATAAAGATATTTTTTATTTTTCATAACGATCCTAGTAGAAGTTTCTTTGAGTGCCCCTTCTTGAGTGTGTTTGTGTGTGTCCCACCGAAAACTTAGCAGCGTCATTTAGTATGCTTCATTTCATTATGTTTCTTCCCGTTCCCCACAGTTAGGCCCCATCTAAATCCAGAAAAGACCCCCTGCCCGCCAACTGCCTACGTCTACGCTCCTTTTTTAAAACTCTTAACTTTCGCTGCAACCGCAAGCATTTTGGGCCGCATTTTGTGGGCAATCCTTCCTTCTCAGGCTCAGTCCTCGTTTTTTGGTCCTGGCAAACGGTGCGAGAAATTGTCCTCCCTATCATTCTGCCTCTCTTTCCCATTTTTCCTTTCCCTTTTTTCCCCCATTTTTTTTTTTTTTTGCTTTTGATGTCGCCTGCAAATTTTTTTTCCTACAGATATCTTCCTTTTTTCGTCGCCGTCCTGCGTAGGAAAACTCCTTTGGGTGTCCCTGCCATTTGCCTCGCACTAAGCCGTCCTGCCATCTCTTTCTATACCCCATTTGCCGTCCCGCTCTGTCAGTCATTTTTTCCTCGTAATTTTCATAAGCAGCCGTTAGACGCTGGATTTATGTTTTTAAACGCCTTTTAATATGCGAGAGGATATTCGCGCGTAGCTGCAGATCCCCAGCAAAACACAAAGCCACTCGCAAAATGCCGCATAGCCAACGTCCTAGCCTTGCCCCCCTTTCAGCCTCTCTGCCCTCTTCTTAAAACCTCCTTAAACCACCCAACATCCTTTTTGGCTTCATCCTTGTGGCTGTCTACTTCTTGGTAACGCCGCGCAAATCCAGTGAGAATGCGTTTAAAAAAATATTATAATAATAACATTACGTAAATAATTGTTGGCTGCTGTTGGTGCTGGAAGGGAGTGTTGGGTGGTGGGGGTGGTAATTTCAAAAGGGGGCGGGGCAGTGTTCGGGAGGCACGCGCCTCTGGAATATCAACGGAAATCAGCTGCGTGTTGATAAGCACGCATATAGCTCCAAGGAGAGTTCCTGGCAAGTGAAGGATATGGTGGTGGGTAGAGGGGTAGGAAACAGGAGGCACTGCCTTCGACTTGGTTTCCTTGTCTTATGTATGTATGTATGTATGTGTATGGTTTATTTTAAGCAGGAGCGTGTGTGTGTGTGGGTGCCATTTGCGTGCGTATTTTTGGTGTGCTTTGCGGTTTGTCGTTCAGCCGAATCGGGAAGAAGTTATTCAGCTAAGGAAGTCGAAGTGGGATATATACTGATTTGATTAAGAAAAGGATTTCATAGATTTGTCTATACTACTGCTTATGTAATTCAACCAATGGATTATATTATGTCACTCACAGTTCAAACTTCAAATATCATTAAGGCTAAGGGTTATCCTAGCGGATTAAAAATGTTTAACCACCAAATTTGATCCAAATTTTTAAAGGTATGTTTATAAGGCATTTAATAAACGAAACTTAAATTACATTCCCTTTTTTCCCTTTCCCATATCACCTTTCGGATTTTCCAATAGATCTTACCCCTTATAAAGGGTATACCAGCATAAAGGAGGACAGAAAAAAACCGAAAAACAGAGGCACATTTGTAACGCGCTGTCTAACCGGTAGAAAATGTGCGTGTGGCAAGTAAAGAAAGAGAGAGAGAGAGGGGGAATCCTGGCGGTAGAAAGAGAGGGGTGGATGCGATGTGCTGCAGACAGCAGCAGTTCGCAGCGGTTCCCCTTATGCCTTTTGCTTTTTTGCCGAATTTCTGTTGTCATCATCACTTTAAGAGTGCTGGTGTTAAGGTGGCATTGTGGGTGGCTCAACTGGGCGGTGGGTGGTGATGTTGGGAGGAAGCCAAAGCAACCGACGCCTGTCAGACACAAAGTTATCTTCTCCCCAACTTGGCAGCACCGTTGTTGTTGTTGTTGTTGTTGTCGTCTTCCGTTTTTAATTTCATCTGCCATTTACTGCTACTTATGACACATCCTTTTGCCAGCCCACCTCGAACCACACACTCAGAAAGCCACGAAAACGGGCGACATTTTTTGGGACTGCGTCTTTTTCTGTATTTCAGTGAGTTGGTTTGTTATTTTTGTATTTTTATACCCTTTTTGGGGAGTTATATATATATTTTTTTTATACCATAAATATTTTGTTTAATTAAATCAAATTTTATAAAGTTATTTTAACATATCTTATGTTGATTTCCATGGTTAAGTGTTAACTTAAAGTCCCAGAGTTGGTCAACGACCACATATTTTGTTGTAAATTTAATTATTTTTATATATATATTTGGTAAATGTAATTATATTTTTATAATATCTGATAAAGAAATATTAATAAATGCGAAAAATAATATTTATAAGTTGTGTAAAAACCTTTTAAGTCAAAAATATTTCACACTTTGCTTTTCCTGGCTAGCTTTCCTTGTTTACAGTATATTTTCTCTGCTGGATGGCTTATTTTCTTATATTATATATATGTAACAAAATATATTTTTTGGTTTTCCACTGGTACTTACCTTGGGATGTGCACGGCGCGGAAAAGCTACTTTCGGATCGACCTGCGGGCGAGAGGGAGACAGAGAGGGAGAAAAATAGCATGAGTCGATGGGAAGATCCGAAGGAAATCGTATGCTTAATGACATTTAAATGAAAAGAACATTTCGCACAACTCTTCATATTAATAGCTGCGCATAAATCTTGCATAAGCCTGCACTGCACATTAAATGAAATTGCCCCAAGGGGGGTTGTGGATGTGGCTGTGGGTGGTGCTGTGGGTGGTGTCTGCTAGTGGGTGACTTCAAGCTGAGCACGCACGAATTAACGCGTAACAAATTGCTCGGCCAGCGGGCGTAAGGAGAAAAAAAGCGAAGCAGCTTCTCTACCCAATAAGCAGCGTCATTAAAAATAATTAAAAATCATAAAAATTCAATTTTAAGCATTTTTTGCCTGGTCTATCTTTCAGCATTTTCTCGACGCTTTTCCTGATTTTCCTGCCCCTGCCATTTGCCGTTCGAGCTGTGGCTTTCATATTAGTGCAAGGACACAGCTCGTCTTGACAGCTGAAAAAAAGGAAATCTGGGTGCGAGGGTGGCACTAAATCCTGGCAGCTGAAGTGCTGCTGTTGCATTTATCTGGGTATCTTAAGCCAATGAAGGAGCCACGCCGAGTGAAAGGAAGCAACGCTATATCCTCTGGCGATAATAATTCGTTCATATATATATATATATATATATAGAGATATATGTACGGGGGAAATCTGTCACAGGATAGGCAGGACATGCGACTGGTTCCGAAATTTGTTGCCGTGTTGATTTCCTGTGTGCAGGACGAAAAACAAGAGAAGCCACACCGTGTCGGACCGCACCGCACCGCACGGCGGGAAATTGATTTTTAGATTAAAATTAAAACTAATCAGCGCTGAGTGCCGAACGGCTTTTGGATTTTTGGAGGATGTCGATGCTTTTGCCTTTTTGAAATACATCAGGCCGAAAAACCGTAACGAAATGAAATGAATTCGCGCTGCGTTTCGTTTCGTTTTTGCGTTGCTGTTCAGCCAACCGGAAACACGAAAATCCCTGACCAGCCGAAAGTCAGGAAGACGTGTATATACTGGATATACCAGATATATATATATAGATATAAACATTACACGTACCGGCATATAAATGCAGTTGCGAAACAAACAAAAACCTCCACATAAATGCTGGCAGCGCATTTTATTTACAGTTGGCAAGCATAAAAGGATGATCGGATGGACATTGGATGCTCGATGGACGGACTAGTAACAGTGCGGCTTCACTCAATTAGCCTAATGCCAATGCGTAATGCGTGGCGAATATCATTACACCGTGTTTCCACTGTACACTCTCTTTCTCTCTCTCTCCGCCAGCGTTCGGCTAATCAAATGCGATTTCCACCTACACAAAATGCGGAAGGAAGGCCCTTTCGGAAATGTATTTATGCAGAGCAATGAACAGCGTTTGCCGAGGCTGATTAATTAAATGGATAAAATAGAGATACGACATCTTGGCGGAAAATTGACTAATAACGTGGATTAAGCTGTGTTTAATGGATAAAGGAGAGTTAACTTTTTGTGGAAGAAATAAATATATTTTGTTTGGTTTCATTATTATTGTGATTAAACTCAAAATTAAATATGAAATTATCTTTAACTGATTTATAAATATGACATATGATTAAGGAACAGATATATTAACAGGAAATTTAAATGTGAAAACATCTACCTAGTTGAGTGTCCTTAAAACTGAAATTTCGTGAAAAGCGCTTCGAAAAAGAAAGATAAAACAGCGATTTCAGCTCATTTGATGTTCCTGTCATATCAGCTAATTAAAAATTGTTTGGCCTTTTCGGGCCTTGTTTTTTGTAAACTTTTGTATGCCTTTCTTTCCTGCTGTTTTTTACCTATGCCGCTATGCTTTGACTTTCTAATTGCTGTCAATAAAGGGTTGGGGGGAAAATATTGGGGTATGATGCTTTTTTGAGCAAATATTTAGCATAGTTAAAGTGGAGTTTGCTGTTTGGAAAATAAGTGTAGAAAAAAGGAGATGAAAAATGGAAGAAAAAAGCAAAGAGTTCGTGTGTAACATTTACCTTTTTGCCATCCAGCTCGTGTGTGCCTTGGGTGAGTACCTTATCTACGCTATTTGGATCGCTGAATGTGACAAAGCCGAAGCCTCTGCAAGTAGATTTGGAAGGAGATGTAAACAGGAGACGGTTAGCGAGAAGTTCTGCAAATATTTACCCAAGCCAGGAGCCAAGTAACTGAACCTGAACCAAGGACCAGAACCAGAACCAGAAAAACAGAAAGAGAAACAGGATACCCGGCCAAAGTTGAACCTGCCATCGTCAGTTTAGCACGTGCGCCAATTAGGCGCTCAAATTACATCAAAATATTGCCGGAGAAAGACGGGGCAAGTGGGGCAAATGAGCAGTCTAAGGCCGCCTCCCTGCTATCTCCCTATGCCACTCCCTTTCCACAAATGCCCCTTTTTCGAACTGTTCGAAGGCAGACGCTTACAAGCCATTACACGTGACCCATCTCTTTCCTGCCTGCTAAGAGCCCCGTCTCTTTCTGTCCCTGTTTCTTTCGTTCGTGTTGTGATAAACTTATTCTTGTTAAATATTTAATTAAAATGCTTATTATCTCGCACTGCATTTTAATGAGTCTCCCATGCCAAAGCAACGAAACGAAACGAAACGAGACAGGCAAAGACAACAAACCAGCTCACAGATTTTGGGCTGTGGCAGTGCCAGTGGCAGTGGCAGTGGCACCCCCCTTTTTAACCCAGCCTTCCCCCCTACCCCGTACAACGCCGCCTGTGTGGACGTTTATGTTTATTTGAGTTTTGCCACTTGGCAGCAGCGCTTAACGATGCTTCTTCGCCTTCGCTTCCTCGCTGCGAAACTCGCAACTTCTTTCAGCCCAGACACATGCTCGTATTTGTCTTGCTCTTTTAAGCCCACCACTGGCATTGCCACTGCCTCCATCCAGCCACCCATCTTGCAACACCAAACACCCACCCACACCCCACTCAATCCGAGCCCAACAAGAACCGCAAGCACAGACAGTAATTAACGACGATTCTATTGCAATTGTGGCAATTGTTACGGTCCTGATTCCACGTCGTGTGGCCCAGAAACCAGGCCCAGTTAACATTTCCAGATCCAAATGGTCAACTGGAAAGGTGGATAAAGGCTGAACAACCTACAGAAGTACGAGTTTACCTTTACATTTGAGCTGGTCATGGTCACGATAGAGATGTTTAATGAGTAGTCAGGGAGATTTAACTTAGGAAATGTGATTTCAATATGGTTTAAGCTAAGTTTGAGACTGATCCTAAAATGATTGCAAGGATCTATCTTAAAGTATAGGATATTAAAATTAAATAGTTTTTAAAGCTTTCTAACTTGCTTTTAATAACAGTCATTTTAATGGGAAGGCGTCATTATAATTACACTTTCCATGCTGCGCCGACCTTGCCGTAAATCATAGAAACTAAATATACGGCATTTAAAATAATTTAGTAGCTAAAAGCTACGCTCTGTCATTAATGGCGGAATAAGTGCAAAGCAATTAATTTGTTCAGCTGCATGTGTACTTGATGTAGTAACTAGTTTAGCAAATGGCTGCAACTATCTCAGATGCAGTTGGCTTTTTGATAAGTATGCTAATTTAAATTAAAATTTAATCAAGCCAAAAGGCAATTTCCAAATTAAAGCCACAAATTTAAGACTGAAATGTTATAGTTGGTTATCTTAGAATATCAGGCCAGTTAACTGGGTTCAAATAATGCATGCCTGGCCTAGAAATTCTGTCGGTAATTTGCCTTAACCCCATTCGACTGGCTGGTTAACCCATCTCAACCCCTCGCTGCTCCACTTTTGACATACGGTTTTATTGTTTGCGTTTTTCCATACAATTTACTTGTCAGTTAAATCATTTGTAATTGAAAGTTAAACAGATAATGCGGACATGTAATTGCTTCATTGAAATTTTATTGCCTACTGAAGGGCAATTATTTATAAAACAGGGATTAAATTTGAGCTTGCACTATATTAAATATATGACTACGTTGCAAAATCAAAGTTTCTCCCCTTCTGGGGATTAGCCCAACAATAATCCTTATAAAATGTTGCTTTCCATTTTGACATTCTTTGGGTTATATCTCGTATCGAGTCGAGTGTATTTTTGCCATACAAATTGCCATTCAACAACAATGCCAACAAACAATTGCTTGTTGCAAATTTATAAAAACAATTTGCATATGGAAAAGGATTGCCCAGGCCGGTTGTGTCTTTGATTTTGCCTACACTTTCGCCAAGCCAAGCCCAGCTACGTGCTATGGATAAGTCATTATTATTTGCTGCTGTTGTTGTTGTTGTTGTTGTTGTTGTCGTCGTCCTGGTATTGGCTTTCTGGATTCCCGTACAGCTGGCACGGTCTGGTACATATTAAATAAACATTTTATCGTATTTATAGACGAACAATTTGTGCAATGTGCAATTTGCGAAAAAGAGGCCTGCACCTATTAATATTGATTTAAATGGGTGATTTAGTATGCGGCTCTGGGGTGGGCCTTGAGGTGGCTGGAGTGGCTCAGTAGTAGGCGTAACTTCAATCCAATGTTCAAGTGGGTCACACAAAATTGCCAAGCAAAGTGGTTAGGGCACAGACAGGCAGACTGAGAGAGAGAGTGTGTGCCACAAAGTTGAGGACAGAGATTGTTGCAATTTCTGGGGTGGCGATAAGGGCGGCGGTGGCGCTGTTAGGGGAACTCAAAGTGAAAAGCCACAAATTTAAAAGGCAAAACTCAAAAATAATGTGTCTCCTGTGTGCAATTTACTCACAAATTCAGATTCAATTTATGCAACTCGAGGCAGACCGGCATGCCATCCGCACGAAAGACAGAGCCAGCGATAGCCAGCGAGCGGGATGGCTAGTGAGACAGGGACAGAGTGAGTAATTGTGTGAGAGAGAGAGGGAGCGGTGCAGAGCTCAGGATAACAACAGAATGTGTGCAGGCAACAACAATGAAAAAACGCACACACAAATGCACAGGGAGAAAACAGGGAGGGAACTAGACTTTGATATAGAATATATAGATATATAGTATATAGTTTGATATATATGTTCATAAGTAATGAGAAACATATTACAAAACTTAAGAACACATACTGAAAATGGGACTAAAATCATCAATCATCAATCTACTTATTTTTCATTTTAGGCGTCTTAACGTCCTTTCCTAAAAGGCCTTAAAATCTTCTGACTATATTAATTATTTTTATTTCTTTATAATTTGTTATTATTTTAGAAATATTTAACAAAGATTCTAGAATCTAGAAATCTATTTAATAACTTACAAGGCCCTTTTCTTCGCCTCGTGTAAGCTTAGACAAAGAACGAGAAACTAGGCAACAACAAGGGCAACAGCAGAGACATGCAGCCTTCGACAAGAAGAGGAGGGTGTTTTTCCATGGCGGGGTGCAGAGTGGGCGGCAATGGGTTGCCTATATTCTGACCCCAGCACACCCCACTACCACACAACCCACTCCCTTCCCCCTTATAGAGAACATGCAACTTGGGTTGCTTGTTGAATTTTATAAAGCCGTTTCAGAATGCTAATGAGCGCACGCACACAAGCTGCCAGCAGCCAAGGATGATGCTGTGTGCCTTCAGCTGCCCCCGCAAAAAACCTGGCTGCTGCGACAGGTGAGCTCAAGGAAAAGGGGGCGTGGCAATCATGTAACACACACAAACACCGCAGACACGTACCGAAAACAGGGCGTGGGGCATCTGAGAGCAAAATAAAAGTGTTATTTGAATTGGCATGGCAGAGCTTGAGAAAGTTTCCGAAGATCCTTGTTGCTGCTGCTCCTGAGCTTACGCACAATTTAGCAAAACAACTTGCATGTATTTAGCCCGTAGATACTCATACTCATAGCTGTGGAAGAATGTAGTTGCTAGTCCACCCTTAAAGGGGGAAGCTTGGGCAGCCGGGAAGGGGTAAAGGAGTATAGAGGAGCCATACTCCTGGCCAACTGAGAGTGTCTGCAGTTAAGTTGGCGGTTGGCTTGTGGCTGGCGTCTTGGATTACCGTAAATAATCTAACTAAATGAGTTACCAAAACGGTCAAAGTTCACATCAAGGTGTTGGCTGGCATAAGGATACCAGGGTGTGTATGTGTGTGTGTTTATCTCTGTGTGTGTTTGTAATGGGAGCAGATAACAATATTAGAAGTCCCAGCATATGTCCAGTGATCAGGTGCAGGATGATGATGAGGATATTCCGCCCCCAGGCAATTGCCAAAACTGTAACCGAAAGCTCATTTAAAGGTAAATTACGGGGGTGAAGGGTTGGGTTTTTCGATGCGGACAAAGTAAATAGAATCCAGGATATCCAGGCCAAAGATTAGTTGAAATTGAGTAAGGTTCAACTGCACTAAATGGGAATCTTTTTCAATGGGAGAAAGGGCTTTTACTGCACATAACGGAAAAACTGTTTAAGGATATGTTCGGAATTTGAATTGATTTTGAATGAAGTAAAGGTCTTGTCCTAGTTTAGTCACAGGTCTTAGCCAGTTCCTTACAACATATTCTTTAGAAAACCTCTTTAAATTAGGTATCATAGAGTTTTCTAGAGAAGAATCTAGAAAAGCAAAATGAATATAAACTTTTCTAATATTTAATCAATATTTTTATATATTTTCTTTTCATTTCCAACAGACCACCAATTTGTGTGATTTTATGCCAGGTGCACTGCTTAATATGCACATCAAATGAAAACCTTTGGATGGGCACCTGAAGAAAATGGAAATCCTAACCTCTAGCCTTTCCACTCCCCCCTAGAAGTCCAACCCATTTTCTTATATCTCTTAATTGCCTCAACCTCAACTGACCTCAGTGCCAGACAGAATGACAAACTACTGTGAATTGCTCTTGAAGTCAGCGGAAGTAAGAAAACAATTGTCTCTGCGTCTCCGTCAGCCCCTTACCAGCCCACCCCTTGTTAACCCCTCCCATGACTCAGCCCCCTGTTAGACCCGCCCCTGCTGCTCTTCAGTTTTCCTTCAGTATTGTTAATATACAAGTTGCAGTCAAGGCTGGAAATGGAGGCGAACATTATATTGTCTATGCGCTGCTTAAAAAGCACAGAAGCCGCAAGCCATGCCCTCA